AGAGAGAGAGAGAGAGAGAGAGAGAGAGAGAGAGAGAGAGAGAGATTTCAAGATGATCCATAGCTAAATAGCGAATTCAAGGTCAGCTTGGACAACCAAAGACCTTGTCCCAAAAAATTAATTAATTAATTAACTAATTGGAAAAAGGACTTTGTTAAGATTTCTGGACTTCTCACTGGTAAACTTAATTACTATAAATTAAAATTCTGACCAGGGTCTATAGTTCAGTGATAGAGTGCTCAACGAGCATGTATAAGACTCTGGGCTTAATCTTAAGTAGTCCTGGAGGGGAGAGTTCTTACAAAAACATCATGAAGCCAAAATATAATTATACACTAGAGAAAATCATTCATAATTCATATTATAAATATAAATTACTTCCTAAAAAAATTTAAAAAGTGAAGTTTAGGACAAAGCAATGACTATAATGACTACAAATGACACTGTGACACATGACCAAAACCTCACATGTATTCACAAAATTAATATTAAAGACAAAATAAAAGTCATGTATGTTATAAAAATTCCATATCCTTAGTAATGTACATAATAAAATACACTACAGGCAAGGGGTATCTGTGGAGTCCACACAGAAAGAGAATGTAAGATTAAAGAGTAACCTCTTTAAGCATAAGAGTAACTTCTGGTCAGAAAGTACTATAAAGTCTCAGAAAGACAGCAAATAAGCAAGAATCTCCAAAGCCATAAAACACCAATAACCCTATACAGTGTTACATGTAATAACACATTATCCTAAAGTCACTCTTTAATGAGAGGAAAGCAGAAAGAGAAAAGGTTTTATGAAAATCATTTAGACACAACAGTAAGGAAGACAACTTCAGCAACATTTTCTAGTAGACAGAAACTGAAAGTTCCAGTTGGGTATACAAAGGCACCGCCTCACATGAACAGCAACAATATGTAGATAAATCAACCAACATAAAGAAACAACTTACTGCAAAAATAATAAATATGGAGAGAGTTCTAATAGTGTGAAAATTTCTTCAACAATTAAATGTCTTCTGGGTAGAACTAACTAGGACAAAAGCCTCATTGCAACTAACTTGAGAAACCTCACCTTCACCTTAATATTCCTTACATCCATCTTTCATTCTGATCTGTATATGTTATCAGTGACAACCACCCTTCCAAGAAGCCATAGAATTACTTTGGGAAGGAATTTCCAAAAAGGCCCCAAATATTTCACCCGCTTCTAAACTGGACTTATAGTGTAAAAGCAATATGCAGACAGGTGTTTTAAATATTTTTTCATTGCATTAAATATTAGAAGATATGTCTTTCAAGGAGAAAATTGATGACTGAAATTTGTACATACAAATGCATGGCATATTTGATATACTGTATGTATGCATATCTATTATACCTAAAAACCAAGCAGAGAGCCTCCAATATGTCAGGTTAACCCTTTCTAATAGTTATTTGAAGCTGATCAACCTTCAAAACAGAAATTTGTCTCCAATGATGGGTATCATACCCAGGCCCAGGCATTGTGGGTTATTATCTGAGAGGCAGTAATGGCTCTGCACTCCAAAATGTAATCTTCCAAATGTCACAGGGAGTTATGAATATCTGAGCAGCCTAATGCACTTTACCAGCCATGAAATGTGAAAATGTAATCTTATTACCTTTTTATGGTTGTATTTTTTGAATAATGTAGCCTGGAAACTGATGTATAGTCTTTTCCTGCGTTTTAGCATGATTTGGTCTCCTCTGCTATATAGAACATTTTTCAAAACTCTCCATTTCAACATATTTTAGTCCTGCATGAACTTCATAAACAATTTTTATAGCAACCTTCAGGGTGGCATAACATGCTTTATATAGGTCACAGTTTAATGTATATGATTATAGACCTTTTAAAGTATTTTATTCAAAGAATTCAAATAAACCTTTACAACTTTTGTACCAAGACCTTAATTCGAGCATGGCAATTTTCTTCTCAATATTTTTATTAATAAAATACTTAATTTAAAATTGCTCACTAAAGTAAGTCACTGATATGCTAAAAAAATTTTAAAAAGGAAAGTGAAAAATAAGTATCTTCTCTTCAAAAGATTTATAAAGCTAGAAGACTGTAACTCAACACCCTGGTACTCCACAGGGAAGCTGTGTTTACTCTAGACAACTCAACGTGAACTTGTTAAGTTTCTCCTGATAGACAGGACAAGAGCACCATGTAACAGGAAGACTTAGCAGAATATAATTTCAGCCTCTGCCGCTAACTTAATATTGCTCTATTTCTTGTGACTTGTTCAATAATGTCTATATTACTTTTAGGAAAGAGAAAATGAACTAAAATATATTTTTTTTCCATGTAGAGTGTCACATACATATAGGAAAACTGGGTAACTTGAGATTAGCACTTTTAAAAACCTAAATACATTTTGAAGTGTGCAGGATACATAAAAGACACTAATACAGTTGGGGAAAATAGAGTTCCAACTAGTGATGGTTTGTATATTCTCTGTCCAGGGAGTAGCACTATTACAAGGTATGGCCCTGTTGAAGTGGATGTGGCCTTGTTGGAGTAGATGTATCACTGTGGGTGTGGGCTTAAGACCCTCATCCTAGCTAGCTGGAAGCCAGCATTCTACAAGCAACCTTCAGATAAAGATGTAGAACTCTCACCTCTGCCTGCATCATGAATGCCTAGATGCTTCCTGCTCCCACCTTGATGATAATGGACTGAACCTCTGAATCTATAAGCCAGCACAAATTAAATGTCGTTTTTATAAGAGTTGCCTTGGTCATGGTGTCTGTTCACAGCAGTAAAACCCTAACTGAGACACAACTTGAACACATTACTTTCTTAGGCTGACTTCAACTTCACAACCCTTCCATCTATCTCAGCCTTGGCATTACTCTTTTAAAAAAGAAATGGAAATATGACCAGTCTTCCCAACTGTCTGCCTTCATAGCACATAAGATACATAAGCGGTGGCAATAGCTGGAGGGGCCATGTCAAAAGCTAAGATTCATTTCATGGTGATCCTGGTCACTACACAATCACCACAGCAGTCACCAGGACAAGTACACCCTACTCTTCACAAATCACTGTTGGGTTTTTGGTCTCTCCATTATACTAACTGAACTAAAGTATACGGTTAAAGTTAAAATTTCTTAGAGGTTGTATACCTGAGAAAATACATCTGTAGTTGTGTTTTTATTATAATTATCTGTTTAGTGTGTGTTAACTTGAGGGTGTGTGCACCATGGATTCTACTAAACTTAATTTTCAATGAAAATTAAAACACTTAACAAACTTTGCATTTGTCCTATATCAGAAATTCCTTCTAGATTGCTATCTTTTTTCAACCGTGAAAGGATGGTAGCTCTTGGGGGTGGGTATTTTATGCTCTCCTTGCATAAATATTATCATTTTATATATCACATATGGTAATAGTTCAACAGGAAAAGTCCCAAAGGCTGTTAGTGATGGCTATCTTGAAAGACTGAGTTTAAAAAGATTTTCACTTTCTAAATCATATAATTCAGTGCATATTTCTTTAAAAAAAAAAAAAAAGTACGTATTTTCTTGGAATCCAATAGGGGAAAAAGAGCTTTTAATTTTAAGAAGCTTTGCAAGCTTCATGGTCAACCCCACAATAGCAAGCCTTTATGCTTCACCTTCTTCAAAATTTTTGCAGACAAAGATCCAAGGAAAGCAGAAAGCTTTTGAACTGAAGAAAATGGATTT